ATAGGGATTAAGGGAGAAAGTTCTAGAACAGATAAGACAAAAGAACAAAGGAAATACTGAGCCTAGCTAAAGTTAACAAAAATATATATAAAACTATGGCCGACGGCCACAATCTTAATAAAATTTGTATTTTTAGTAATTAAACTATTGTTTTTGCAAGAACAGACAACTTTGATGGTCCTTTTCATCGGATTTGTTTATTATTATTATTTTTTCCAAGAAAGGAAGATAAAAACAACCTTGTAGAGAACGTATTAAAAAGCTACTTAAGCTTTTAACTATCAAATAAACTCATGGATTGTCTATTAAACACTTCGAACTGTCGTGTTTTCATCTATTGCCTTTGTGCCAAAGTCATTAAATACAGTATAATATCAAGTCAGTCGGTCTCACATATCTGGAACGAACCATTCCTGAAAATTATCTGGGGTTTTTCGATCCGTCTGGTAGGCCCGGTATCGAAATCTTAATCGGGTCGTTAAATCCCGAGGAAGTTTTCGGGGAGTGTTTCGTCCGGATATGTCGGGCCCCGTCCATCACCACCCGGCCGCTCCATTGTGCGGCCTGGCCGAATCCATAATGGGCTTGCTAAAAAAAAAGGCGCTCTTAGTAGTGGAAAGAGTTAAAAAAAGGAAAAAAAAGCGGTAGGATAACGTCCTTTCTCCTAGGACATCCGAAAAAGATGGAAATGGAAAAAGCCGCTTGCTACCAAAAAGGCAGAAAAAAGAAAAATAATCTCATCTAAATGTTACTTTGTAGAATTTACGTTTAATTTTCATAAAAATATATTTTTATGTTTTATTAATATAATTACAATAATATAAAATTAAAATACACGGGGAAAATATTATCTTTTTTATTGTATTGTTTTTAGTATTGTCTTTTCAAAATTTGAATACAAGTTTTAAAAATTTAATTAATCGTTTTCATATATTAACAAAAACGTTAAATTAATCGTTATTTTAATTATTTATTTAAAAAATTTCACATTTTAACACTATTAAAACATTAAAAATACTAAAAATAATCATCATAAACATAAAAAATAAATTAACTTTATTTTATAACTGGCGATATTATTCAAAATTATTATTATACTATTAATCTTAAATAAATTAAAATAAATAATTTAATAAAATAAAAATAAAACAACCAAATATATTTATGGCGGAATTTCTGTGTTTTGTTTAGCGCCATTATTATGTTAGTCTGTTAGCCACGTTGTACGGTATAGGAAGCCGACATCTGTTGAGAGTAGCTAAATGATTACTAAATGTATAACATAGTGACCGTTAGTGTAATTAATTAGAATAAGTTTTATAAGCTTCGGAATTAGAAGTGAAAATATGTTGGAATCCAATAGTTTAGGATTAATGTCCAGGTGAGTCCATTGATGGTGAAGTTGCATGACCTAATATGACATTCCATTGGTAAATTTGCTAATCATTTATAAAAGTTAAGACATTTTAAAGTCTTATAATTATTAAGTAATGTTTATAGAATTCCTGAAGTTGTTTACAGTTAAGAATTTTTAAAAGTTTAATCAGTTTTAATTCAATTAAAATGGTAACTGTACAGAAATTCAAGCCATATTTGAAGAGTTCAAGCTGCTACAAACATGTTTCATGAGCCTTACACTAGTTTTTATGTTACCTTTGAACATTTGGATGCATACCTTGTGTAATGATTTTTTTTTATTTATTTATAAGAATATTTTTTTATTTTGAGTGTTAAAATGCTATACCGAAGGCTGGTGTGTTTAATTGAAAATATATATGTTGGTAATGGTTGTAAAGATAATGGCTAATTCGTTATCATTCCGTATTGTATTTTCTGTGTAGAAGCTATTATTGAATATAAATACAATGGTACCTCGGTATACGTCTGCTTTAGAATACGTCCAATTCGGAATACGTCCTGTTTGGACGAAACAAATTTTGCTAGGTGTACGACTTTTGTTTGGTATACGACATAATTCAATTATACGCGCCATCAATGAACAAGTAGCACTATCGGTGTACTAGGCCAGACTAGACGTTCGCGGTGCAACGGTTTATAACTTTGTTAAATTTCTTCTGATTTTAATTCTGTAAGTAAAATTTTATTATTTTTATTAAGCACGAATCCCAAAAAGGCAAATGAAAAGCGACAGAAAACTAAAAAGACAACTAGAATTACAATGGAACTGCTGAAAGAGATTGTTGAGAAATACGAAGGTGGCACGCGTGTTTGAGATTTTAACTGTTGCCAACTGTGTTCTGAGAACGATGATATGGACAATCGCGAAAAATAAAGACATTATTAAATCTGCTAACGTTGCGAAAGGGGTTAAATCAATTTCTAAACAGAGATTGAAGACATCAGATCATGTCGAGAAATTGCTTTTGCTTTGGATAACTGAAAAATAGTGCTGGAGACAGCGTATCGGAAGCAATTATTTGCGAGAAAGCTAAAAAGNAGCTTCCGTCCCTTTAATTCTGTCATATTTATAATATAATATTCTTAAATTACTTTTATAAACATTGTGGCTTTATTATATTATATAACGCGTTGAAATAATAATTTAAAAATTATTATTATTAATTTTACTTAATGATATTATATAAAATTTATATGTGTATGTTATTTCTGTTTATTTTCACGCAGTGTTGCCATAAGACTACATTTTTCGGGATTTATTATTTTTTTAAACTCTTTCCGCCCTATGGGCACTAAGTGGGTCTCTTATAGCAAGCCCATTATGGAAGCGGCCTGGCCGAATCCATAATGGGCTTGCTAAAAAAAAAGGCGCTCTTAGTAGTGGAAAGAGTTAAAAAAAGGAAAAAAAAGCGGTAGGATAACGTCCTTTCTCCTAGGACATCCGAAAAAGATGGAAATGGAAAAAGCCGCTTGCTACCAAAAAGGCAGAAAAAAGAAAAATAATCTCATCTAAATGTTACTTTGTAGAATTTACGTTTAATTTTCATAAAAATATATTTTTATGTTTTATTAATATAATTACAATAATATAAAATTAAAATACACGGGGAAAATATTATCTTTTTTATTGTATTGTTTTTAGTATTGTCTTTTCAAAATTTGAATACAAGTTTTAAAAATTTAATTAATCGTTTTCATATATTAACAAAAACGTTAAATTAATCGTTATTTTAATTATTTATTTAAAAAATTACACGTTTTAACACTATTAAAACATTAAAAATACTAAAAATAATCATCATAAACATAAAAAATAAATTAACTTTATTTTATAACTGGCGATATTATTCAAAATTATTATTATACTATTAATCTTAAATAAATTAAAATAAATAATTTAATAAAATAAAAATAAAACAACCAAATATATTTATGGCGGAATTTCTGTGTTTTGTTTAGCGCCATTATTATGTTAGTCTGTTAGCCACGTTGTACGGTATAGGAAGCCGACATCTGTTGAGAGTAGCTAAATGATTACTAAATGTATAACATAGTGACCGTTAGTGTAATTAATTAGAATAAGTTTTATAAGCTTCGGAATTAGAAGTGAAAATATGTTGGAATCCAATAGTTTAGGATTAATGTCCAGGTGAGTCCATTGATGGTGAAGTTGCATGACCTAATATGACATTCCATTGGTAAATTTGCTAATCATTTATAAAAGTTAAGACATTTTAAAGTCTTATAATTATTAAGTAATGTTTATAGAATTCCTGAAGTTGTTTACAGTTAAGAATTTTTAAAAGTTTAATCAGTTTTAATTCAATTAAAATGGTAACTGTACAGAAATTCAAGCCATATTTGAAGAGTTCAAGCTGCTACAAACATGTTTCATGAGCCTTACACTAGTTTTTATGTTACCTTTGAACATTTGGATGCATACCTTGTGTAATGATTTTTTTTTATTTATTTATAAGAATATTTTTTTATTTTGAGTGTTAAAATGCTATACCGAAGGCTGGTGTGTTTAATTGAAAATATATATGTTGGTAATGGTTGTAAAGATAATGGCTAATTCGTTATCATTCCGTATTGTATTTTCTGTGTAGAAGCTATTATTGAATATAAATACAATGGTACCTCGGTATACGTCTGCTTTAGAATACGTCCAATTCGGAATACGTCCTGTTTGGACGAAACAAATTTTGCTAGGTGTACGACTTTTGTTTGGTATACGACATAATTCAATTATACGCGCCATCAATGAACAAGTAGCACTATCGGTGTACTAGGCCAGACTAGACGTTCGCGGTGCAACGGTTTATAACTTTGTTAAATTTCTTCTGATTTTAATTCTGTAAGTAAAATTTTATTATTTTTATTAAGCACGAATCCCAAAAAGGCAAATGAAAAGCGACAGAAAACTAAAAAGACAACTAGAATTACAATGGAACTGCTGAAAGAGATTGTTGAGAAATACGAAGGTGGCACGCGTGTTTGAGATTTTAACTGTTGCCAACTGTGTTCTGAGAACGATGATATGGACAATCGCGAAAAATAAAGACATTATTAAATCTGCTAACGTTGCGAAAGGGGTTAAATCAATTTCTAAACAGAGATTGAAGACATCAGATCATGTCGAGAAATTGCTTTTGCTTTGGATAACTGAAAAATAGTGCTGGAGACAGCGTATCGGAAGCAATTATTTGCGAGAAAGCTAAAAAGATACACGCTGATCTCATGAAAAATCAAGCAGGAACTAGCCAGGAAAGCGAGGTGTTTAAATTCAGCCATTTTTTTTACGTGAGAACGGATTAATCATTTTTACATTACCTCTTATGGGAAAGGTTGGTTTGGTATACGTCCAATTCGGTATAAGTGAAAACATCGGGAATGGATTAAGGTCGTATACCGAGGTTCCACTGTAATAAAATAAAATAGAAGCTGTGTAAAACATGGCTCTTATTTAATTATTGGGTTGTTCAGAAAGTAAGTTCGTTTTTTTTTTCCGTGGAAAAAAACATAATATTTTTTATAATAAATAAATATTTTATTGAGTTATATATTAACCATTTTGGTCAAATATCTGTTATCATCGTTTCTGGTAGTAGCACGATTTCACATTTATAAAAGTTTTTATCGTTGCTTACAAAATACTGATCAGAGTGATTTTTTGACATTGTCATTTCAGGTAAATGTCTTACAATTAAAAAAAATTTGCATAGATCGGAACTAGTAATAATCCGAGTGTGCTCGATCTGGCGAATACCAGACAATTTAACAATTGATTCGAAAGTGTACTATCATGGTTAACATGATAGTACACTTTCGAATCAATTGTTAAATTGTTTGGTAAAAGCTCCAAAAAAAAAAATTTCATTAAAATATTACCAAAGAGAGCATCTCTCTTTAAGAATATGTGGAACCCATATATTGAGCTTTGAAACGAAACCAATTTGTTTCAAGTAATCATAAATGGTTCAATTTGACAAATTTAATCTCTTAATGATTTTATGTGTTGTTATTTGGCAGTTTGCTTCAATCAGTACTTTATTTTGTTTTCATTGGCTTCAACTGGTCATCCAGAACATGGTGCATCTTAAACAAAGTAACAAAATACAAAGGAAAACAAAATACTGCTGAATTTCCTCCAAAGCATCATAATTTACAAACGATGCGTTGACGACATCATTATTCTCTGGAGAGACTCTCCGAACATCATCCAATTCTTGGACCAAATGAACAACAATCCATATGGTCTTACCCTTGAGGTCGAACAGCACAGCGACTCATCGGTGCATTTTCTGGATTTGAATATTGACTTTGGAGGACCGAACATCTACACCTCCATGTATTGCAAACCATCAGACAATCCAACTTATATCCCGGCAGACTTTTGTGACCCTGTCCAATACAAGATGGCGGCGTTCAGGGCTCTTGTTAAAAGAGCTCACACACACTCATCTACTCAAAGGGCTTTGGAACAGGAACTACGATACCTTTGTGAAGTGGCCAAACAACATGGGTACCACAACATCATACCAAAAATGTCAAAATGGTTCGGAGAAATGATGTCTGCTTCTAAAAGAGCTAATTCAATAAATGTCAACCAGAAGGAGGATAAATAGAGGGTGTCGATTACCTACAACCCGCTATTGAAATCAATACACAGTAGAATCGCACGGCAGAGGGGTATCTCCCTAGCATTCCGAAGATGCCCCTCTATATTTGATATTCTACGTAATGGAAAAGACAAATCTAAGGAAGAAAGAATGCCGGAGGTATATAGAGTGCCACTTAGGGACCATCATTTTGGCAAAGACTTAATTTACATAGGCTCAACAAAATGAGCTGTTGGGATCAGATTGAAAGAACACATGCGTGATATTCAACAAAATAAATGTACCACTTCCTTATGAACTTATGCGTCTGATCCAGAAATAACTGCAGACTTTGCAAATG